AAATATAAAGATTTTTCTAAGTTAGAGAGTCCAAAAGCAGGAGTTGTTTCATGTTTTCTTTTAGAGTCAAGATTGCCTGTTGGCAGGTTCCATCCCAATTCAAAGTCTAATGATTACTCCCTTTGAAAGTTTCCCTGAGTGGCTTTGCTGTAAGACCAAATCAGGGAATCCATACCTGGCAGAAACTTGCCATTCCCGAAAAGGATCTTAACTGATTCTTAGTCTGAGTGGCATTGACCCAAGATGATATCACTTTTGGGTCAAAGTTGTTGTCCCAACAGTGAATGTATACCTCAAATATTTAATCTTTTCACAGAAATCTAGGCTTTGTGGAGGGTACATAATATTCTTGATTTTCCAGAAAATTAAGGAGATGGATTGTGATCCTGGCAGAGTCTTCCCTGGTAGATCTAGATATTCATAATTTATCTACATACTGCAAGAGAGATCTATTAGTTAACTGTAGTTCTGTTAAGTTCTTGGTCAATGAATTGCCAAAGAGACAGGGACTATGTCTAAAACTTTGGAAAAGAACTGTCCAGGTGAGTTGAGATGCAGCGTGACTGTCTGGGTCACTCTATTCAAAAGCAAAAACATGCTGGGGATATGGGTGTGAAGATACTGAAAAGTAAGCATCCTTTAAGTCTAACAATGTGAATTAATGAGCATCTTCAGGGATTTCAGTCAATACTATACCAATATTAGGAACTAATTAGTAGACTGCGACTACTGTCCAATTAAATCCCCTTAGAGTCAAAATGAATTCATATTCCTCATTTGATTTCTTTACAGGTAAAATGGGCTATTATATTGAGATTGACAGGACTGTCATATTCGTACCTTAGAATCCTCATTATTAAGGTTTGAATGTTCCTCTGGTCCCTGTGAGCCTCAGGATTCAAATAATAGTTTTTTCTTTTTTCCATGGGTAATTAACATTAGGTTTTAAAACTGTCTGGAATAAGAGTACATTAACAGCTCTTCTAGAAACACCCATGTCTCAGAGGGGTCTACTAGAGAAGCAATGTGTAGTGGAAGGCAGTTCCTCTACATATCTGTGTGAAGACAAATATTTGGAGCTAGGAGAAGTGTTCTTTCTGGCCTGTTGTCTTCTCTTGGGGCACTTTAAAGGAAACTGTGATTAATTTGGAAAGTAAGTCTCTCCCTAACAGGAGAGAACACTCAGTTATAAGTATTAAAAACCTTTGGGAAAATGTGTGGTCCTTTACAGTGCAACCAAGCAGGTAGATGAATCTCTTTATTCTTGGCTGGCCTTCAAGTCCTGTTACTGTACAACAGTAGGAAAAGAGTAGCCCTGGGAAATGGTTTAAAACTCAGTAGGCATAAAAAAATGATGAGCTCAAGTCCTTTGCAGGGACATGGATGAAACTGGAAACCATCATTCTCAGCAAACTGATACAACAACAAAAAAACCAAACACCATATGTTCTCACTTATAAGTAGGTGTTGAACAATGAGCATACATGAACACAGGGAGGGGAACATCACACATGGGAACCTGTCAGGGGGTAGGGAAAGAATAGTGTTGAGGGGATTGGGGAGGGATAACATTAGGAGAAATACTTAATGTAGGTGACATGGGGATGGATAAAACCAACCACCATGGCATGTGTATACCTATGTAACAAGCCTTCACATGTACCCCAGAACTTAAAGTATAACAAAAAGGAAAGAAAAAAGCCAATAAGCTATACAAGTAATATGGGGCTGCTGTCTCCACAATTATAACTAAGCTGGAGAATGTGTGAAAGTAAGCAGGTAGTCAAATGCCACAATGTTTATAGCACTTTAGCAGTCTCTGGCTTCTAAACTAAGCAATACCCTAGTTTCTCTCTTTGTATTAGAATTCCAGAGTCCAAAAGAGTTGACATTTTTGTTCATTTAATGGCTGTTTCAATAGAAACTGATTCTTGGCTCTTCCTATTTCTATTTTTCATGACATTACTTCTTGAACTATTTTAAAAGTGACTCAAGGAGCTTTCCTTCAGAATTGTTTGTCTAGAACAGCAGTTCCTAACATTTTTGGCAACAGGTACTGGTTTCCTGGAAGACAATTTTTCCATAGATAGGACAGTTGAGGGGCTGGAGGGAAGAGGATGGCTTGGGGAATGATTGAAATGCATATTTATTTTGCACTTTATTTCTATTATTACTACATTGTAACACATAATGAAACAATTATACAACTCAACATAATGTAGACTAAGAGGGAGCCCTGACCTTGTTTTCCTGCAACTAGACAGTCTCATCTTGGGGGACAGATCATCAGGCATTAGATTCTTTTTTTTTTTTCCTTTTTTTTTTTAAATGAGGTGGCAGGCATTAGATTCTTAAAAGGAGCATGCAAGATAGATCCCTTGCATGCATAGTTCACAACAGGGTTAGTGCTCCAATGAAAATTTAATACTGTTGCTAATCTGACATGGGGTGGAGTCCTGCAATGGAGAGTGGCCATAAATAAAGATGGAGCTTCACTTGCTCACTTGCTGCTCACCTCCTGCTGTACATCCTGATTCATAACAGCACATGATCACTACTGGTTTGGGGGTTGGGGATCCCTGGTCTAAAAAATAAAAGCTATCCACTTGTTTATATAGGGTTATATTAACTTCTGCTCACCCACAATTAATTTAATAAGACACTGACATTCTTTATACAGGTACCCCCTGCTGTTTATATTTATCTATTCAGTTCCCAGTAAATTTGAATAGGCTATCAACTGATACTAGAAAAGTTCTTGGTCACTATGATTCTCAAAAGCCTTGTCAGAAGTTAAACTACAGAAATCTTAACATCACCAACTTGAAAGACTAGTTTGGCAGTGCCCATGCTACATAGGTCTGACTGAAATAAATTATTTTTCCCAACTAACCAGAGGGTAATCCATCTTTTGGATCTTTAAATTGTGCAATTAACTACATTTTAAGATCTGAGAATAGCAACTTTTCCAACAATTATCTTTGAACTTGATTGTTACACAGTTCTGGTCATATTCATTGTAAAGAATACACAGAGGCTACTATATTAACCATTACATCTTTATTTAACCTGAACGCAGTTGGGTAGATAAAATCAGATTCATATTAGGTTAAAAAACCCATAACTCTACAGAAATCTTGAAATGCAAATGAGAATTGCCTCTTATAAATCATGTCCTTAAAAAGACATGAGATAAAAATAAAGCAGTGTGTTTATCAGTACTGTATCATTTTTTTCACAGTTATTTTCATTTACAGTTTGAAAGAGGTAGATTATTCTGCAATAGACAAAAATTGAACTATGATAATCAGGTATAATAAAAACAGTTCCATGAACTTAGATATACTGGTGTCAAAAGAAATGTAATAATATGTATCTGAAGATGACACATTCTGTGAGTCTAGACTCAAGTTTTTCTATAGGTTGGAATCCCCTGCTGCTATACATGTTATAACTCCATAATGATCCAACAAAGCAATCTAAGTGATCTCAACATTTAAGCGTTTTCTTGGTCAGCTACAGTGTTCATAAACAGGGCCAATAAACAAAGTCAGATTCTATATATACATATTTTTGGGCATGTACAACTCTGCAGCTATAGGAAGAAAGCAACCTTAGGCAACAGAGAGGTTTGCCAACTCCTATTCCAGAACATTGTGAAATACTGAGCATGCCTCAGGGCGATTTACAAAGGAATCCTTCTGTAAATGGTTCCATTAGATTTTCTTCTTCTTCTTGTTTCCACTGCTAGCCAGAGGAGTAACTCTGAAAGGAAACCAAGTATTTCCAAAATGCAATTCAGATCTTCTTAGCATTATAATACAACACAGGATTTCTAACAGAAACAGTGTGCCAAAAACAACAGACACAGGGTTTATAGTCATATCAATTTGGCAAGTCATATAAATATTGTCAAAAAACTGATCTGAATCAAATATGCTATGCTTATTTCTTAATCTACAGGAGTTTTACATAATATTTAAATGACTTGATAATATTAATCAGGTTTATATTTTCTTTTACATATATATTATGGGCCACAGAGTTTAAATTAGTGTCTAATTTCACATAAGGAGATCATTATTGAAAACTCTCAATTAAGATGATTTAAGTGTACTTCTTCCTAAGTACATTGCTTTCTACCCTAAATTTACCTTCCACACAAAGCAAGTACTACAAGTAAGTTTCACATCCTTAAAAATTGCCTTAGTATAACATTAAGAGCTTACATCCAGCAGAGATCTGATAAAATATGACTGTTGGGTACATAACATATCTTCATTTCCTCTAAAAGAAGTGGGTCCAGTATTTCATTTTGTAGCTGAATGCAATATTTTTTTAAAAAGGCTGGGAAGTGGGTAGGGGTAGGTGGGTATCGCTGTTTTCCTCATTTTGGCAGAGTAATAAAATTTGTCAAATTTCATGTTAACTTACTTTCCTCTGTTATCTGGCCCCTTGATTATCATAGTCACTACGGGAAATGTATAAGTAATTCACATCGCAGACTTTTTCCCAAGCACTATATGGCTAAGTACAGGGAAATTTTCCACTTCTACTTCTGTTACAACTACAAATCTGATGAGAAAATACATGTAAAACTATTTAGCTATATGAGAAACTGAAATAAAAGGAAAATTAAGAAATAAACTCAATAGTTCAAAATTTCCCATTCCAAGTGCAGAGATCTAAATACTACTTTTTTTTCTTTAAACATTAACTGTAACCTGAAACTAAAGAGGAACCATTTTCAGTTACATAAACATTAAGCCTATTGGTCCAGTGATTTGCCTGCATATGCTACTGTTTTTTCACGTCATTTGTACTTAAATGATCTGTGTGTGTGTGTGTGTGTGTGTGTGTGTGTATACATACATATACATATCTTGCCAATTTTCAGGAATTCAAAGTTTACAGTCAATCAATTTGGCAAGTCATATAAATATTGTCAAAAAACTGATCTGAATCAAATATGCTTGTTTCTTAATGCAGTGGAGTTTTACTCAGCATTTAATTTTTTTACATATAAATTATGGGCTACAGAGTTTAAATTAGTATTTGATTAAACATGAGGAAATCATTACAAAAAAGCCTCAAATTCAGATAATTTAAGGTAATGAATATACAAACATAGACACTGAAAGGACAAGGCAATGAAAATTTGCATTCCAACAAAGGTGGAAAATGAGGCTGATGCACAACAGTTTGGAAAGCAGCTTTCTGTACCACATTGTCTACTAGTTCTAAAAAAATACAGATATAATAGAAAAAGTAGAGGACATTTTCATTACCAAACAAACAGTTAAAAGTAACAGAGAAATGTGTTCACAAAATATATCCATCAGTACAATAATCATACTTCATCTAAATCAACACCTAGAAGAGATCCTGTGGAAAGAACTTTTGGGTAGCATTTCAGTTCATTCATTCCTTTGGGGTCAGCCTCCAAGTGGACTCCTGGGGCTCTTCTAGAGGAAGTGTTCAGCACAATGGAAGAATCCAGGGCAGCACAGGAATGCATGACAGGCACTGCTAAATCTACATCTGCTACTTTCACAGAGACCTGCCCTTTCAGAACTTCTACTTTCTCACTGAGCTCATTCCTTTCTATTTGAAGAGCCTTGTACAGCTTCTCTAACCGCTCCAATTTTATTTGAAAGATCATATAATTTTTATCATTAATAGTTTTCTGTAAGAAAAAAAGATAAGATTTATATATCTTATTAAATATCAATTAGGCTACGGTATGCAAAATTGGGTAAACTGAGACAATAAAAAAGTTGCTTTATCACCTCTTAAATCTCACTACATAATGTACTATTTTAAATATTTAAAACTATTCTTGCGTGATGCAATAAAAAACCTTTGTCATATTTCCTTAAAGTAATCAAAATATACATTTTAAGTATTAAGTTGACTTAGTGAAATATAGACAAAATTAAGGCTTTTAACAAAAAATGCCAGCAAAAGTTTTCCTAGAGAAGCATAATAATTGTTAATTCATCTTTTTATATAAAGTAATTTACCAAGGGAATGTACATCTACTTTCTGAAAAAAAAAAAAATTTCCACCTGACAACTGTCAATGTTAACTAGGATAATAAACCATATTATGGTTATTTTCTATAATCTAATAAGCTCTTTAGTAAAGAGCTGAATATATGTTTAAAGTACGTAACATGGCCAGTTGCAGTGGCTCACACCTGTAGTCAAGGCACTTTTGGAGGCTGAGGTGGGTGGATCACAAGGTTGGGAGTCCAAAACTATCCTGACCAACATGGTGAAACCCCATCTCTACTATAAATACAAAAATTAGCTGGGTGTGGTAGTATGCCCCTGTAACGCCAGTTACTTGGAAGGCTGAGGCAGAGGAATCACTTGAATGCAGGAGGAAAGGTTGCTGTGTGCTGAGATCATGCCACTGTACTCCATCCTGGGCAACAGGGCAAGACTCCATCACAAAAAAAATAAAAATAAATCCAAGTATTAAGGGCTATGTTCATTTGCTTGCAGATTTTCTACCCAAATACAAGTAATTTTTAGCCATTTATTCTCATTAGTGAAGTCTAATAAGATGACTGTTAATTGTAAAATCTAACTAAATCAGTTCATTAAATACTATACTATTAAATAATTATTGCTATAAATATTATAATTGGTATAATAAAAATAACTTGAGAAAATGTTTTAAAAAATGCCAAGAGTAGGAGTTCATTAAAGCTGTTTTTACATGGATTTTTCTTCCTTTCAACCATTTTTGACAAAAGAATATTCCAACATTTTCTTATGAAATGTTATAAATAATCCAATCAAATTTACAAAAGTAAAAACTTAAGTGACTGCAAATGTTATACACCTCAGCTGTATTTACAGCAAACTTGGTAAAATGTACTTAAGTTGCCTTTTGGAAATGAATAAATCAAAGTGGTAAAGCAAGTGAGGTACCAGTTCATATTCTCTGGGGAAATCTGAATAAAGCTATCTTTTCTAAAAGCAGAGCAAGTGACTTTCAAAGTCATATTAGCTAAACTAGCAATGTCAGCATTGCTTGCATGTTTACAATCACAAATTCCTGGGCAACACCAGAATATAATGAAGCAAAAAACTAGAGGGGAACAGGGAAGACAGTTTAAGAAGACTCAGTTTGTGTAAGCTCAACTTTGCTATACAGGAAATCAAAATCTAGATATGATAAAGTTGTCTACAATAAAATTTTGAGATAATAATTATGTTGCAGGAAAGGTGTTTATCATATATAACACAATCTAATTCACTGCAGGAAAGAAAACATAAATAAAACTTGTAGTTATTAGGCACACCTTCTGAAGGTAAAGACATACAGGGGATATTTAGTTAAGGCTAAATAATGACTTAGTGTAAGCACCGAAATAAGTAGGTACCCATTATTTAGTCATGTAAAATCTTCTTACCTCTTCAGCCATTTGCAGAAGTATTTTATTATTATTTTCCCATTTGGTACACCACATTACCATTTCTTTTTCCAGTTTTTTAATTTTCTTTGTCAGCTGTGAATCAATAAGATTATAAATTTAAATTCTAAGTTTTATTTCCTGATCTACCACAGAAATCACTTTATAATGTTGTTCCCTTTCTCCATCAGTGCACTCTTCTCCAACAGTTGATACCTATATTGTCTTTATAGGAGTAAGTGTTATTTTTTTGTTAGTAAAGCTTGTCTCAGAAGCTCCTACCATAAAAGCAGCATTAACCAACCCAGAGGTTTCAAATTAAAAGAAAACAAATTTGATGTCCATTATTTCATGGGAATTAGTACATTGAAGCTATACTCTCTCAGTTAAGACTGGCATGTAGTTCATTTCAGCTGTGGAAAGCACACCTGAGACCACCTACTCTATAAGTACATGAAAAAATGTTCAAGAGTTTTCAGGAGGAACGACAAACTAATCCATTTCATCCTTGGAAGGATACACTATCAGCTCCAAAGAACCACAAGAATCCGAAAGCAAATCAGTGTAAGAACTAGAGGTAGCATAATTTAGGTAAGTGACTGGGAAAGAGATATTAATATTTCTGAATCCTCAGTTTCACTTAATTCTTTCAATTCACAAGATTGTTTTATTTCAGATTTTGCGAAGACCAAAATGGTCTAAAAATAAGTGGAGGAAGAACCTGTACTACAAGAACCAATTCCCAGAAACGGATAAAATTTAGTTATATCCTTCGATAAGCTCTGTTCCAAATACATAATATAATAATATAACTCATTACCCGGTAAAGAGCCAGGTAATGTTAGGGAAAATAGGATAGAGCCAATCAATATCTGGTGCTTTGGGTTTACATACAAAACTCATACAAACCCCATGGGAAGAGCACCGGAACATCTAAGTTAAGTGTTGAACAACAGTGATCTTTACACCCACTAAGAAAAGGTATAATTTTACAGCCTCTGTTTTACTTCAATAGTAAGCATATGCTACAATACAAGTAACACTTCACTATGCTTAACAGTCTTCCACGGTAGTCACAAATGAAAGGATGGGCAGGCAGAATTAATCTACTACTCAGTCAAACCTCCAAATTACTTAGTCTAAAAACAAATGAAGTAATTTCAGTATTTAACACAATCAAGCACTGACTGAGTATATGAGCTGTTTTGCTCTTTATTTTTTACAATGAGAGAAAAGATATAGTAACGTTAAACAACTTATTGGTCACCTATAACACAAAAGTTATTAGATTAAAAATTCTGACTAAACTCAACTACATAAGCTCTAATAATAATCATGACTAACATATATTGAATGTTTATGAATTTCCCAGACTCTAGCACGGTACTATCGCCAATAGGCACATTTTTAAAAATCTCAACTCAGATAGGGAAATACCAAGGTAAATGACTCGTAGTAAGGAAATTACAAAGTTGAAGTAAGAGATCTCAGTTTCAGAGTTCATGCTCCAAATTGCAGTGCTATATGTTTATTTTGGGAGATAGTGAATAATGCTGTTTAAAATTGCCATTTTAACCTGTATTCTGAACTAGGATAACCCAGAACATTTTCTACACCTAACTTTAACGACTAGTTTAAATTTAATATTAAGAATACATCTAGTATATTGTGTATATATATATTTTAAATTTCAAAGAGTAAAGATTTTCAGGTTTAGCTACGTACTCAGAAATAAAGCTATTCCTACCAAGATATATTATTACTTTTCTTGGCCTGGATTTTTTAAATAATTTAATGTACGTTTTAATTTACATAAGGCTATGTGAAAGAACTGAGTGCTTAAAAGAGGTGATTAAATAAAAATCACCTACAAATAAACTGTCCTTAATAGAACATTTATGTTTAATTATAATAGAAATCTCAGAATATCGAGATAACTAGCATTCTGGGGCAATTTCAGGGTAAAATGCCTGAATAAGTTGGTGAAAGTTTAAAAAAAGATAATATCAGATTAATATAAACTCATATAAGTAGCAATTATGCTTTTGTTTTTGTTTTTCTTTCAGAGACTGGATCTCCCTCTTTCACCCTGGCTGAAGTACAGTGATCATGGCTCACTGCAGCCTCAACCTCCTGGCCTTAAGAAATTTTTCTACATCAGCCTCCCAAGTAGCTGGGATTACAAATGTACATCACTACACCTAACCACATATTTTTTTCCATGTAGAGCTATGGGAGCCAGGCTGGCCTTGAACTCCTCTCCTCAGGCAATCCTCTTACCTAAGCCCCCCAAAATGCTGGGATTACAGGTATGAGCCACCATGCCTGGCCATGGTTATGCTTAAAATAGCCTCTTATATAAATTAATAATATTCTATTTAAAATATATAAATACCTTTTCAGTTTCCTGCTTGAAGGCTGTAAAGAGTTCATTGGTTTTTGCCATGGTAGTCTGGAATTCTTCAAACTTATCCATATAAATGAAAAGCTATAGAAAAAAAAGATCAAATAAAGTTTCAGAAAAGCAACTTAAAACCCCGAAAGATTTTAAAACAACATAATAACTTTCAAAAGAACATAAACATCAGTTTTGATAAATTACTGAAATAATAACAGATGCACACACCCAATCCCTGGACTGCAGAATATATTGAAATTTTTATAACCCACTGAAAGGCACTGAAACTTCACTGTCTTAATCATCTGTAACTATAAATGTTAAAATGTAAAATCACTTATTAGTTCTACTTTAACAACTGTAATTAAAACTGAACCATAGTGTCATAGCTGTGAATTTCATATAACCATAATGCTTTGGGTATTACTGAGTCTCCTGACATTTGGAAAGATTTCCTTGTAAAAAGAGTACCCATTTGGAGTATTTAGTTTCCTTGACAGTATCTAGATATTAGTTTAATATTAAGGCAACCACTTTCCTTTACATATACAGAAAAAAAACCAGAGCCAAATGGTTTGATAGGGCAGAGAATGAGTAGAAGTACAGCTAAGAAAGAGATAACCTAAAAGAGGTTGAAAAAGCAACTATTTTTACCCTATCATCATCTTAGACTTTTTTTTTATTCTAGCTGGAAGAATAACACTAACCAGCAAGACACGAAGAACATTACATTTATTTATCCTTTTCTCACACTTACAACAGAACGTTCAGAAAAGTAGGGGTGAAAGCATATTAGGAGTCCTAACAGTGGACTTACAAGCAATCAACATTTTAGGGAAAGCTTCATATACGTAAGGCCTAAACGGGTTCAAGAGTGAACTGAATGATTTCATTTTAGACCAGAAAGAAATCCTTTAGGGGCTTATGTATTACATTATCTTCAGGAAACAGGCCCAGAATAATAAACTGTTTTGCTCAGTAAAAGTAAAAAAGAATAAAGAATATTCACAAACAGCATCTTTCAACTTTCACAAATGCTGTATTAAAAATATTAAACACAGCCACTCGAATGAGACAATGCAGAGAGTGATAGCACCCACACTGACTCACAGGCAGAGGGACGACCAAACAAATGCCACTTAGAAGCAAGTTCTGTGTGTGTGTGAAAGAGAAAGGGGTGTTGAAGATAGCAAAGTTACCAGTGATATTAGACTAGAAGAGATAGCTATATGGCAGCCAAATCACGCTTGTACAAAGAAAAGGGCATAGGCCAGGATAAAGAGAAAAAGCAGGGATAGAAATTTAGGGGAATTTGCATATAATGTATAATGATCAAATAACAGTCAAGAGTATGTCCATCATCTTGAATATTAACACTTCTATGTGTTAGGAACATTTCCAGTCCCTTGTTATTTTGAAATAAACAGTGCATTGTTGTTAACTTATTAGCACATTAGATCATTAGAAATTATTTCTTCTATTTCTATGTTTGCACCCATTAGCCAGCCTCTCTTCATTACATTTTTCTACTACCATTCATTCCAATGTTTGGTTTTAGCCTACACTTGACTGCTCTGTGATCGCTTTTTTAGCCCCTACTTCTAAGGATATATGATATTTCTCATCTTGTGTCTAGCTTATTTCACTTAACCTAATGTCTTCCCATTTTCATCCATGTTGTATAGAGGTTTAAAATATCACATGTATCCCCAAAATATGTACATCTATTCTTTATCAATTAAAAAATGTAGAGCAAACTAATGAACACACACAATTTGTTAGCAGGCACTTACCAGGCCTCTGAGGCTACTGTTCTGGAGTTGGGGGCAATAGCAGTGGTTCACGAGGTGAGGGAGTTGCTCTTGTCCTTGAGGGACATTAGAAATTACCAGTTTGGGCACAGTCCATTTTACTAAAGGTGAAACATCCAGGTAAAGACTGTCCCATCTGAAAGTTCAAGTGGGTAGCCCAGAGTGGACAGCCAATAAATGGCAAGTATCATTGCGCCTGAGCCTATTGCTATGGCTAGATTACAAAACAGCGCATCAAGGGATTACAAAGACTTTGAGTATCACCAACAACTCCTGAGAAATGACATGGTTTAACAGCAGAGAATAAGACACTGTAGGGAAAACACCCACATTTAGGTACCACAAAAAGAGGTGATAGTAAAAGAAACAAAATAGTAGCGAAACAAGAGGATTCTATGAGATACAAATCATAGGAAATAGAAACTTTACTAGTGAGAGAAAAGAATGGGCTGGGAATTTAGTGTCTGCTCGTGACTTCTTTTCCAACATTATCAGTGACTCCTACATTCAAGAACATCTTCCAAAGTCAGCTAGGAACTTTTTAACTTCTCCACATCAATTTACATGGACAACTGACTATAAAAAGGGGTTTAAAATTTCTACATAGTAGAAAATTCAAAAAACTTCTGATACTCAACCCCTCCTAAATTTTCACTATCAACTAGCTGGCTTTACCTAATATTGCTACATGGTACAATGATCCCAAAGATAAACATCATTCCAAAGTGGCACTCATGAAGTTGTATGCAGTCTCAATATTAGTGTATTTTAGCATTATGAAAATGATATATAACCTGCCTCTAAAAACCACATTAATAATAGGAAACTCAGAGGCAAGAAGCACATTTCTGATACCTTTCCTTTGAAAGTGAACACACGGCATCTCTTTCCTTTATATAAAAACCAAACAGCACACAAAGACTAATGGCTGTCTAGACTGAAAAATGAAGAGAATTCCATATTTTATGCATTTCTAATTTTATTAATTTATTTACATTTTTTTATTATTATACTTTAAGTTCTGAGTACATGCACAGAATGCACAGGTTTGTTAGAGGTAACATGTCCTATGGTGGATTGCTGCATTTATCACTCCATCATCTACATTAAGTAGTTTTCCTAATGCTGTCACTCCCCTATCCTCCTATCCCCTTCTGCCCTTCCCCTGGTTTTCCACTAGGTGTTTCCCAGCAAGGCCTGGTGGTGTGTCATGTTTTCTCCCTGTGTCCATATGTTCTTATGTTCAACACCCACTTATGAGTGAGAACAAACAGTGTTTGGTTTTTGTTCTTATGTCAGTTTGCTGAGAATGATGGTTTCCAGCTTTATCCATGTCCCTGCAAAAGACATGAATTTAATCTTTTTTTATGGTTGCATAGTACTGTATAATTTGTATGTGCCACATTTTCTTTATCCAGTCTATCATTGATGGACATTTAGGTTGGTTCCAAGTCTTTGCTATTGTGAATAGTGCTTCAATAAACATATGTGTGCATGTGTCTTTATAATAGAATGCTTTACATTCCTTTGGGTGCATATCCAGCAATGAGACTGCTGGGTCAGATGGTATTTCTATTTCTAGATCCTTGAGGAATCCCCATGCTGTCTTTTGCAATGAACTCCCACCACAGTGTAAAAGCATTCCTCTTTCTCCACATCGTCTCCAGCATCTGTTTCCAGATTTTTTTAATGATTGCCATTCTAAATGGTGTGAGATAGCACCTCAATGTGGTTTTGATTTCCATTTCTCTAATGACCAGTGATGATAAGCTTTTTTTGACATTTGTAGGCTGCATAAATGTCTTCCTTTGACAAGTGTCTGTTTATATCCTTCGCTCACTTTTTGATCGGGTTGTTTTTGTCTTGTAAATTTAAGTTTTTTGTAGATCTGGGTATTAGCCCTTTGTCAGATGGGTAGGCTGCAAAACTTTTTTCCCATTCTATTTGTTGCCCGTTGTCTCTAATGATAGTTTCTTTTGTTGTGCAGAAGCTCTTTAGTTTAATTAGATCCCATTTGTCTATTTTGGCTTTTGTTGCCATTGCTTTTGGTGTTTTAGCCATGAAGTCCTTGCCCGTTCCTTGGGCAACAGCATTCAGAGACCCACTATTTTTTTTTTAAAGAGCATACACACACAAATCTTATGTGGAAGTAAGACTGTCTGACCATGTGTAATATTTTAAAATTGCATGTAGCTACCCCTAAGACAAGATTCTAAAGGCTCTAGAGAAAATATCTGGAAGAGAGGAAAGCAGACCCTCAAGATAGGCTGACCAGCCATCACAATCAACCTGGAACTAGGGGTGCCAAAATGAATAAAAATCATTTATGGTGACAAAATGAAACAAAACAAAACAAAACAAAACAAAACAAAACAAAACAAACACCTAAAGGCAAATGAGAATGAATTCATTACCGTAAGAGAAGAGAAATTCCTCAAGAGGACATTGGGAAATTTGATTTGATACTCTATTCTAGTAATCAAAATTACTCCATCTGATTACTAGAATGGAGCAATCAAATCTCTATTCTAGTCTGTGGTTGGGAACAAAGAGACATAAATTCTGCTATTCTCTGTTGTCAAGTTACCTGCTCTTTCAGCTGTACTTCTTGTTGTTTCATTTCTTCATATTTGTGCCTCGATTCTGTTGCTTCTTTTAATAACTAGAAAACAGAAACATTCTGATAGAATACTAAAAACAATTATAAACATGGTTAAAATGCCAACAACCAAATAGGCTTAATCTTCCACTAATTATCCTGGCAGCAATGACAGGTCAATCCAATTATCTCAATATCTAACTACCTGTACCTTTAATCTGCTCCACTAGTGAACACTTAGGAATGTAATAATAATTTCTTCAGGAGAAAAAGTTCCATAGAAGCATAATAAAGTTTACAATATTCAGTGTTGAAATTTTGGGTTTTACATGAGAATAGCTAGACATCTACACTTATAAACAGAAAACATAGCTAGGAATCTTAACATTATCCAGGTCATTTAGAAAGTCCCTCAACTCTGTAGGAGATAAGAAAAGGTTTAAAGAATATATACAGCAAAGCAGTGAAAATAGAGATCTAGATTCTGATCATTTTTTTAAACCACAAGCAAGGAACAGCTAAGGGAAGAAAAGAGGCTAGTTAATATGTGAGTTTTTCAGAAATATAGATAATGAAGATGCTTAATAAGCAGCTGTGAAATTAACTCATTGATTTTCTGAGTTAAAATGTCACACATTATGTAAATAAGCCTTAAACCACAGAATACACAATGTACAAAATTGTGTATATACCTATGAATATACATAGGTATATACACAATTTATACCTCAAGTTGAAATGTGCAATTGTTTCTTTAGTTGTACACTGATACCTGTCAGCTTGCAATGAAGGTCCATGCTGTGTAAAAAATTCATCTCTCTAAACTCTAGACTCATCTAGTATAGGCTCAATGAGGCTTAAATGAGAAAAACACTAATGAACTAATATTCATAACATGCTCTACTCAGGGCCCACATTTCTTGAATGAAGAAAATGTAATATTTCACATTATTAAAATCATTTGCCACATTTTTCATTTATAGAATATATTTCCATTTGCATATATGTAGTTCCATTTCCATTTTAGATTATAGTTCATATGTATGAGTAAACGCATATACTCAAATAACATTTTTTTCCAAGTTCTCAATTATGGGCAGACAAAATATCAATGCCTATTCTACCAACAATGCTGACTAGATTCAGATTATTTTCAAACGTTATCAGAAAATTATACTAGACTATAATAAATCAAAGTAATCATTTACCAATTTTTAAGATGCTCATTTAAAAATAAAATGTAATACTAGATAGGAGACTCATGTTCAGTAAGCTTGGTATAAAATTTAATTGTCCCTAACTCTCAAGGCCTATCTTGCCTAATAACTGACACAATTCTTTAACTTGGTAACCACTATATAGAAATCAAGATTATATTGTTTTTGCATTAATTTAAGCTTATCTCCAGTAAATTTCATATAAAAATTTCATCAGAAATAAAAAGCTTGATGTATTTTAACACACACATAGACACACACATTCTCTTTCTTTNCCCAAATCCAGAGAGTAAAAAAAATTGCATGCCTTGTTACTATGTTAAATGAAAGTTTGTTTTAAATGATTTTGGTTATAATTTTGGCCTTTTCCCCCCAAGAAAAAGAACTTACAAACTCTCTCTCTCTCTGATATCTTTCATCAGCTTCTTTTATCAGCTCTGCTGTTTGTCGAAGTCTGGCATCCACACACTGTTGTTGTAATTCCTTATGTTTAAGTGCTTTATTAATTTGCTATGAGAAAACAGAATTTCTTCCATCACTTACCAAAGAAAAAAACACAATGGGGAGAAAATACAACACAAATTTCTAGAACCCTGCTTACCCTTCTTTTCTACTGCTACCACTGTAGCTAAGAACACTGGTGCCATCTGTCCCTATCACTGCATTAGTGGCTATGAAATATCATTTTGCAAACTATCCCAAACTGGAAAGAGCATAGCCTTCTAAATGCTGCCCCATGCCCCACCCTATCAGACATGGGCTGTCCCCATCATAATCATTATATTTCCTGCTTCTTCCTTACATGGAAAAAAAAAAAAAGCTGATATTTTTATCAAGAAAAAGATGGATAAAGGGATCAAAATATCAAATTCATTTGTTATACACATAATTCCTAGACTTTTTTTTCCACAAAATCTTCTGAAATTCCTTAAGTGTTGGTACCCTGATAAAAGGATAAAAATGGACTGGAGCAAATCCTAGTTGATTGTATATTCCAGGACAAACTCTTTTGCTGGTGAAACAGTTCCTTTATCTGCAAAGGTAGATGACTATACCTAACTTGCAGAGTTCCTGTGCAAATCTATTGCAAGAATTATACTGTGTAAGGTGCTTGATGTCTGGCACATATTAAACATTTGATAAAAGCCTGTTATTATTTAAAAACTATATCATTAAGTGCTTACACATGTACAATAAACTCATTATGAAATCCCTTCACACATGAAGACTCTATGTGAAGGAAGAAATGCTAGGTGAAAATAATGTATCCAAATTAAGTTTTGAGGAGAATGCAACAGATAATATGTCTTACTAGGCAATTGATATTATCACTACTCAATTATTTTCTGACAAAAGAAAAAGTCTAAAATCTAAAGAAGACATATAGCTAGTATAATGTGAACATATGTACTCTCCCCATCTGCTACTTCTATAGCAAATTTGGAGAGTTTAATACAGTTAATATAAATTCTAAATAGTAAAATAATAAAAATAAATAATAAAAATCATTTTTAATACCATCATTAAAAACAATGGAATTTAAAGGGTCCTTTTAAAGAAAGCTGATAGATTTATAGAACAAATTTAATGTTCAAAAGTTCACTATATAGGCCTAAAAAAATTCTTTAATAAATGCATTCCAAGGAGCAAAAAAGGAGAAGCTAATATCTAATATATAGATATTAGAAAGACTTGAGATATATTAAAATAATAAAATGTTATGAACCCTATTTTGATCTTGATATAAATAATCCTAAGAAAAAGAGAAGTAACAGACATTTGAACTGTAAAGTGACAGGGTATGTAATTACATAGTAATTGTTTAATTTTTTGGTGTAAAAATAGTACTGTTTATGGCTTAAAAAGAATCACTTCATGATGCACATTCCAATAGTAATAAATACAGTGATATAACATCTTTGATTTGCTTTAAAAAACAACAGTTGCTAGAAATAAAAGTAAATAATTACTGAAGCCAAGTGATATATCCTACTATAAATTAACAACTTCCCTAATAAATTTGAAACCTTGCTGAAACACAGAGGAAGATGGTTTAAAAGATACTCAAAATCTTAAAGAAAAACATTTTCAAAAGTAGCACGAAAATGTGTAAATTAAATATTTGATATACATAATACAGTATTTATTGTTTTAATATGTTCAAGTTGTCACATTCTTTTTATTTGCAATTTTTATCTATTTAGTAAAGAATTCAACATGTATTTTACTAGCTTCAGGCACAATAAAGGGGATGCATTCTTTGAAAATAAAAATCACCCTATCTATTTGACCTCTAAAAGTTAACAAACAACAACAACAAATAAGCAGGTTATCATCTATTTGCTTTTGATTTAGACATAATACAACTTCCATATCAATTTTTAAAATAACATCAATGACCAAATTCAACAACTATGAATCTTCCAGCAACCTTTTTACTTCACTGATTACACAATCAATACACCTAGGTGATGGATAATTAGTAAGTTCTTTATTCTCACAAATAGCACAATTTTTGTACTCAGTATAGTACAGCAGATACAGTGCAATGTGCTATATGTTGTACAGATTGTCAAAAAAATCTGAGATACAGAGTATTTGGGGAACAAATCTGTATTAGATGGGATAAAAGAAAAAAAATCTATGCTATAATCACAATCTTGTAGTATCATTTGGCAGACAAGTGGTACATATATCCTGGAAATCACTTCACTTATCAAATCCACTGACATTGGGACAAGTGATGCCCCAATTTAGTCATTCTGTTTACTGGTTCCTATGCTTTTCCTAATAAACATGTAATTTCCACTGTGCATACATAAAAGTTCTAAAATGCTGGCCTGTGAAAGAATTTTTATTTTATACTATGGTGAAGCTTTTGCTACTTGTGAGCAGCTATCTATAAACAAACCAAATGTCATTTACCTCTTCCCTCAATGCATATTGGTCTGTGAGCTTGTTCAGTTTCTCTCCCAGTTCAGTGTTCTCCTGCTGGAGTTTGGCATTGTGTATTTCGTGCTGTTCCAGCTGGGCTTGAATTTCAGTTAAAGTAATTTGGAAATGTGCAGTAGCTTCTTTAAGGCCTTCTTCCTCCTTTTTTCTCTGCTGCATATATTCTTTCTTATTATCCAAAATAATGTATGTTAAAAGTATAGACCTATAGATAAAACTCTCAAAAAAAGAACCTATTTATATGTAAGTTCATTTATTGCTGCCATGAGGTATTGCTTTTAAACTATAACTCCTCCCCCTTATTTATGATCAGAAAGCTCTAATTTAAAAGCAAGCAGCTTTTTCTAACTAGATAGTGAAAAGCAAATGCCTTGCTATTAAGTATTATCTGATAATCCAGGTATTCACTATATTATTATATGTAAGTAAGGTGCTTCTCCACACAGTTTCTTCAATGTTATTTCCCCAAATGTCATCCTCATTGGTTAGGCACTATATCATCCTACAACAGCCTGAAGGTCTTGCTGCTTACTTTCTGAGTCACATTTTCCATTTTCTAAGGGGGAAGGGACAAACTAAATCATTACTTTACAAAGTTTAACTTCAAAATCGTACTAGGCTACAGTTTCAAAAGATCTCTGTCTAAATAGTTATCACTACAGTCTAAATGTTGACAGTGCCATCTACTTTTATTATATTTAAATCCAAGATTTCAAAATCAAGGGGGAAAAAAAAACCTTACAGGTAAGACCCTACGTCATGAGCTGTCCTATGTTTTTGAGACTTTACTGTGATGAAGGCAATACAGCTCCATCCACATAATATTCCAACTACACACCGCCACCCCCAGCAATACCACAGAGTCAGATAAATTATTCTGATGGGTGGGAAATTCTTTCCAGGGTCTCTGCTTTTTACTTCCATTATTGAGAAAAACTGTCATACTTCTTCCCTCTTCCACTATAATCAGCTTAGCTGTAAGTAGTATTCTAAAAGTATTTAGCAGCCAAATAGCCAAAGATGGTGGAATGTAGTTTAGCAATCTATACTGGTAACTTTTATAGTAGAGCTCTACAATGTGTTTTTCCTTCTCACACTCACACTGACTATGGCTACTGGTTTCTTCATTTCAGTCAATATTTTCACTCATTACCAAAAGAGGACACAGTAATCAGCTACATCATGGTCAACGAAAAATCTGGCATCTTTGAGCTTTTTAATCAGGAGATCTGTTAACATAAAATCAATGTCATCTAGACTGTTAAGATCAAGTATGTAGTACATTAAGGTAGAAATTATCCTAAAATCTGAAAGTAAAGTTTACATACAAAGAGTGAGTCTTAAATTCAGAACTGCCTCACAGGTAGCACCAGCTCAAGCCAATCAAAAAAGGTATTTCTGTTTTGAGAACTCCACAAAGTATTCTGCTTAGGAATTTGATCTACTAGCACAAGTGTACACGAGCCAGTTAACTAGCAGCCATTATAACAACTATTTCCCATTAAAAGAAGCAGACCATGAATTTACTTCAAGTAGATACAAGGCTATTAAAAAAGCAGCCTAAGTAGTTCTTGAAACCCAGTAAAATAAACCAACTAACCTTTAATGTCTTATTTTGACGCTGAAGTTCCCTGCAAAGTGACTCTAGCTTGCTTCTTGCCAAGAGGGTCTTGCTGTGTTCACTCTGCAAAGGAACTTTCTCTTTGATAATGTGAGCTTGCTTTTTCTGAAGAATTTTCATTTGTCTCTGAACATTCCTCCTTTCCTCCAGCTAAAATTAATAACCACTTTACATTTAGAAAGTACAGTAAGAATCTGAGTCACAGCCCTAAACTGCAATTACAGCCATGGAACATTTTATGTTCCTCTTTTTTCTAGTAACAGGAAAGTATATAAATAATTTTGTGTAGCAAGAAAGGTAATCTTAACCTCTATTTTTTATTAATAGAAACAACTTTTTCATCATAAACTTCTTTCAAACTAAAACAATTTAGTTTTACTGTTCTACAAGTGCTAGTTTACTAAAACAGCTACCAAAATTAGAACACAATAAGCAATGGTCAAGACTAATCAGTAAATTCAGTTTTAGATTATAATGATTCCATTTTATGCTACCAGATAACATACTGGTCTTCCTGATAATTGAGTAAAGCTTTTATGAAAAATAAAACATTGGCAAGGCAAACATTTCAAGAGAGAATGACATATCAAGAAACCTATCAAACATCCCTGCAGGCAATATTCTTATACCTATTAAGAACACCTTTATTGGCCTGGGATGGTAGTTCATGACTGTAATCTCACTTAACACTCTTGACAAGTTGAGGTAGGAGGATCACTTGAGCCCCAGAGTTCACAATCACCTGGGAAACATATCAAAACTCCGTCTGTACAAAAAATGTTTTAAATTAGCCAGGCATGCTCGTGCATACATGTAGTGCCAAGTACTCAGGAGGCTGATACAGAAAAATTGCTTGACCACAGGAGTTCAAGTCTGTAGTGAATTGTGCTTGCACCACAGCACACCAGCCTGAGTGAGAGTGCAAGACTCTAAAATAAATAAACGAATAAACAATGCAGTATTTCAGTAACTCCCACCTCTATCATGGCCAATTTTAAAAAGTGCTCTTTTCAGATCTACTAATCAGAATCTGCAATATGACAATCCTTGTGTAATTTCTATGTGTTTGAGACCACACTAGACCACCAAGCTACACTACATGCAGTCAATTTGCTCTTTCTTCTCTAAACCTTTTCTGTTGATTTTCCTGCTAGGAAATCTCCTAACCTTCTAGTGCACTGCTTTTTCTACCAGAAATTTAAATTATTTTGTCAATCTTTTATCTTCTTGGTGTCTATCTTCTTTATCTAGCATTTCTCATGAGTTTCTTCACATTGATGTAACAATTAAGACTGCCTTCTATATCTAATGGAAACATTCCTTTCCTGAACACAGCAATCAACAATCTTATTTTCTGCCTGCCATCTTTGCTTTTGGACAGTTTAAGCTATTTGCTTTTATGCTTAGGGATTCCTGCTTCTCAAAATATCAGAAGATGCCAAGGTGATGACAAGTTGGTGACACCTGAAGATTCCAGCTAAGTGAAGTAAATACAGACCATTTCAGAAAATAGTAACTATTATTGTTGTTTTATTCTTAGAGCTGATTATTAACTAAATATTTGTTTTGTGCATTTAAGGTATGCAATTGCTTCTTTACCATTATTCAAAAATGTGCAAAACCATCAGTGATAATACCCATAAATGTTTCACAAAACAGAAATTTAGCATTTACATTAATTATAAAAATTTATCATGATTCTTTAAAAAGTTCTACATCTTTCTCATTATTTGCTTTACAAAAACTAGAAGGGTTTCCCTTTTGAGAATGTTTCCATAATCTCCAAAAAAGAAGAGTTTTATTTGAAATCATATAGGTCAAAACAAACACTTTTATGGGGTGAACTTCTCTGGAAGATGGAAAAAGGAACAATGTTTGGTATACAGCAGATATTAAATAAATATTTCCTGAGACAGTACAATTTTACTAAACAATTTTATCTAATTCACATTTTTGTGTGTGTGTTTGTGTGATGGAGTCTTGCTCTGTTGCCCAGAATGGAGTGTAGTGGTGCAATCTTGGCTCACTGCAATCTCCACCTCCCTAGTTCAAGCAATTCTCCTGCCCCAGCCTCCTGAGTAGCTGGGACAACAGGCATGTGCCACCATGCCCAGCTAATGCGGTTTCACCATGTTGGCCAGAATGGTCTTGATCTCTTGACTTGTGATCCACTGCCTCGGCCTCCCAAAGTGATGGGATTACAGGCGTGAGCCACGGTGCCTGGCCCTAACTCGCAATATTAGTCAACAATAGCTAGAGCTTGTGCAGAATTGCAGAATTCCTTTAGGAAATTTTAAATACAGAAATGACTTCCTCCCAATTGTCAGGCATCTTAAGCATATTTTAAAAACTGCTGATGTAGAACTAAGGCTGACTGAGTTTTAGGAAATTTATTTCATATTTCAAAAAGTATTATAATGTTCTATACATCATTTTACAAGATGACATCACACACACACCAATAAGTAGTAAAGAAAGATTATTTTCTTCAATTTTGAGATAAAATGTCATTTAATATTTAAAGATACATCAAAATTATATTTTAAAATCTTATCAAGCACACATATATTTTATTATATTTTCTGTGGTCCTTGCTCCATTGAATAAATACTCACAAGATCAGCATATTTCTTACAGAGAGCTGCCAGCTTCTCCTCTGGAGTTGAAAGAATGTTTAGGGCTTGCATCAATAATAAAACTTCTTTTCCTGATGATTAATAAGATTAAGAAAAGTACCAGAAGAAGGCTGAAATCAATCCAATCTGTAAATTCCATGTAAACCTCTATGTTGAGACATCCAGAGTAAAATGTTATCGCTCTGATTAAAAACAGATTTACCTATTAAATTCAGGAAACTTTTAAATAATTGTGATTTAGCAGGTACTTCCTCTAGCTGCACAGATTTCTTCATTTACCAAGCACCACTGCTAGCTATTTAGCCCTTAAACAAACTGAAGGATAATTATTGCAAATTTAAGAACTACTCTTGCCTAACCACTATTTAGACATTAGCATTCCAAGTTAAGATATTTAAAAGGGCAAAGAATAAAGTTTCCTGCTAGCCAAGTACAACTATACAAGGGTGGTTAGTTGCTATGCACTGTCTAAGATGCACATAATGCTTTATAACATGTAAGTTTTGCTACGAACAATTTAAACAAGTTATTATTGTTTGGGATGATCTATTAAGCATATTCTAGGTGTCAAGTTTAGTTCTTAAAAAAAGGAAGTCCAAACAGCTCTTCCCTTGAGGAAAAGTATTCCAAGAGTACTGCAATAACATTGGAATGGAAAAGCAAGTAGCTGCAAAAGAAAGGGTCAAACGGTGCCTCAAAATACATAATAATGTTCTACTGGTAAAGATGGGGATAGGTGACTTTTGATTTGTTCTCTCTTTCATATATAACACAGTTCTTTAAAAAATAATCTTTAAAAACCTTTACTTTTGGTATGCTTTACTGAGTATGTTTGAGGGAAGGAAAACAGGCTGATTTCAAATAATAATTTTGTCTGCACATAAAATTTTAGTACTAAATTCTTTTCTCATTCACACCAAAGCCAAGTAAGAAAGAAAGGCTGAGCAGCGTAAGTAGCTCACCTGTAATCCTGACACTTGGAAAAGCCAAGGCCAGAGGATTGCTACAGGACAGTATACTAAGACCAGCTTGGGCAATATAATGAGGCCCTGTCTTTACAACAAAATAAAAATAAAAAATTAGCCATGTGTGGAAGTGTGTGCCTGTAGTCCCAGTACTCTAGAGTCTGAAGAGAGATGATCATGAGCCTAGGAGTTCAAGTCTACCATGAGCCATGACTGTATCACTACACTCCAGTCTGGGTGATAGAGCAAGATCCTGTCTCTGTAGAAAATAAATAAATAAATATTGTTATTGAATGTGTACGTAGAAGGAACAACTGTAATATAACCTGCATTTTCATAAAGATTTTCATTTTAAACTATTTTAAGATTTTAACATCAAGCTATATTTTACATATACACATGGATATCAATTTTGAAGATATCTGTCTTATTTGCAAGGAATTACAATTACTTTATCTTCCAGAATAACAGAAAATGAAGTCAGAAGAAAAATTCCAAGTTTATAGTCATATATAAAAGTCACTTATTAATGTAAATGTTAGTACAAAAAGGATGAAACACTGAGGGCAACTATTAAGATATTTCAGATTTCAGTCATGAACTGTGACATATCATAGTCTTAATCCTAACTGTTAAACTAATGGAGTAGAAGGGATAAACCAATTTCTAAAAATCACTTTTAACTCTTTCTAAATTACAGACAACATTATATCCTCTTTAAATTTCAGTGAATTATCTTTTAACCAAAAATCAAATACATGTTGTTTTCATACTAATTATTGGTTCAATTATTTTCAAATGTACCAAAAGCAATGTAAATCAAATACTAATTTTATCAAAATCTCCCCAAAGTTTCTTAAAACATCAGTTCTTGTTACATAGAGAAATAACTAAGGTTCTTATAATTGGGCTTCATATTTTGCTATTTCTGCTCTCTACACATAACTGCAGATGTTAGATTGGCTAAACCAACTGAAGAAACAGTCTCCTTGGCAACATTTACCTCCAAACAGGCCAAGGTCATAATCACTTGTGCTGCAACAAATGTAAAACCAAAAGACTAGTATGTGATAACATCCAATCACAGAGCAGAGGTCATTACCTAAGACTTTTTCTTTGTTCATGTTGCATTCCAAATCTTGTTGACCACAGGGAGGGACTGCTTCTTGCTCAGGACGCTTTCTTGACTCTTGTGTGCAGTATGCTGGGCTCACCCCACCCCTGTTCTGTGTTATAAAGTCACCTTCTTTGTCTTCCAATAAATGTTTATTACCTGTGCCACCATGGTTTGAGTGTTGATGTTGAAGAATATCGTTTGATACTGAGTTACACAACACACCTGCTTCCTCCCTTAGCCCACAAATTCCAGCTTCTTCCATTATGCTATTCGCAATCTAGAGGGAGGGAGAGTGAGCAAAAAGGTTGAGGAAAGGGTTAAATCAAATGTTATTAAGAAAAGCAAGCAGTGCTAAAAAGTACAATTTTCCTTCCGACTATGCTTTTCTACTTTTTGCATACCTGGCAATCAACAAATAGGTCATACAGCCTGACAGCTTCTTTTCCTTTTCATAGTGTTATTTATTTATTTATTTATTTATTTATTTTTCGAGACAGAGTTTCACTCTTGCTACCCAGGCTGGAGTGCAATGGCGCGGCTTTGGCTCACCGCAACCTCCGCCTCCTGGGTTCAGGCAATTCTTGTCTCAGCCTCCTGAGTAGCTGGGATTACAGGCACGCGCCACCATGCCCAGCTAATGTTTTTTGTATTTTTAGTAGAGACGGCGTTTCACCATGTTGACCAGGATGGTCTTGATCTCTTGACCTCGTGATCCACCCACCTCGGCCTCCCAAAGTGCTGGGATTACAGGCGTGAGCCACTGCACCCGGCCCTGTGTTTTTTGTTTTTTTTTTTTTTTTAAATAACACTACTTCTTAACAATCTAAAGTAAATACAGTACTTTGTAAGATTCATAGAGTGGTGACTTAATTGCAAAGTACAAAGATATTACAATTAAATCATTACAGGTTACTGTCATATAATAGTAGCATAAGATAATCCAAGGCTCAATTCTCCACAAAACAGTGAGAGCTGGCAAATTTGTCATGATCAGCTTTTTCAGATTTCTACAATCTTTTAAAAACTTTACAACACAAGGGAAACCTTACTGAATAAAAACATTGGTTTCTCCATAATAGACAACTGTAAGATTTTTCATTCCCTGCCTAACATCCTTACTCCCTAAAGTAACAGTAGCCAGCAGGACTCCTGGTGAAAATTGCTAGTGCCAGAGTGAGCAATGAGGACCTTAAAACAGTGAACCTAGGTTTAAACTTGTCTAAGCTCTCCTGAGAAGGCTGTGCATAAGGTTGCCTTTGTTTTGCCAAATGGAGACCTGAGGCTGCTTTCAGGAAGTGTCAGCAAAGAGCATTAAAGGCATGAGTATTGAGTGAACCAATACTGTTTGTAACATGACTTCTGCTACATTAATGAGAAGAATGGTTAGGCATGGGGCCAAATTTCCCTGTTCCTAAATGAAAGCAAAGTCCACACATAGCTCCCTTGGCATATTGCGGAGCTCTGGTGAATGAACAGCTAATCCATGGAGACCTTCTGAGTCTCTGCTTGTGTCCCAGTGTCCCAAAGGAACGTTGGGACATTGAAAATAGCTATCCCCCAAAGGGACCATGCCCTCTCAGGTTCCCCAAGTAATAATAGCATCTGTCTGTTCCTGGAATGACTAAATAATGACTAGAGGAGTGGGGAAAGACATCCAGAAATAATTATATGGTTTTATTTGTGAGATTCGGGAGCTGGGGCAAAAAGGATGAAAGATTATATTAATATAAAACTATTTTGAAAATTCAGCATTCTACCCTTGACTACTCTTTAAGCATAATTCTTCTTTTTTTTCCCTGACAAATCAAGGTGCAGAATGGGACTAGGGGATCCACCTAACTGGTTTCCCCTGTGAGACTGACTTAATCTAGATCACAAGGATACTGAGCACAAAGTCTCCCTATGATGCCCCACACAAGCAACAGAGGAGAACATAATGGAGCTCTGAAAGGTTTATGGAAACTCTCATCCATCTGTCATCTCACACTTCTGGACAATACATGTCCTGTGAGTAAGGGACGAATGAACAGAAGTCAAAGTTAAAGTTTCTAGAAATACAGACTGTAGCAGCAGAAAAACCTAAGTAGAAGGGAAGTAACATATTAAGACTAAAACACAAGAACAGGTAATTAATTACTCCATCTTATTTTAAATCTGTTCTTGAAGCCTTACACACACACATGCACATGCACACACACACGCACACAGACACACTTTTGTTTATCACTCCTAAAGAAAGTAAGCCTACTAAATTTGCATTCATAGCCACTCAACTCAAATGATTTGATGCCATTTAAATGAAAACATTAGTGTATGCCCCACCTCCCGAATCTCCCAAATAAAACTCATATTAATTTTCTCTGGACGGCTTCCCCCACTCCTCTAGTCATCATTTAGTCATTCCAGGGACAGACAAATGCTATCCACATTGTGTCACACACAGAAATGGCCAATAGTCTGAGTGGTCTCAGGTCCTGCAAAAAAGACTCATTTCATTCACTTAACAGCCAGACAAGCAGCCATTCTAAAGCACAGTAACCCTGTGGCCACCTTAACACGGATACAGGTCCAGTTAGGAAGACCTCAACAATCATAAACACTTTATTTGCAGACAGACCACATTTGTCTCCTGGGGGGAAGCCACGTATTAGATTAACATTAGAAAACATTGTGACTGCTATTTCAGATGTAGTTATAACAGTTCTTCAAGTGTTTAAGAAAACACAGTAGATTATGTAACCATATAAACAACTGTGAAGTGCTGTACACAATGAGGATATCTTTGCCTATTTGTTGGAGCCCTGAAGGGGGAAAACTGATTCATTTATATGCACATTAAAGTACTTATCTCTACAACAGGAGTCACTCCATTAAAAAAGTGAAAAATGTTTGAGATTTTTAACTAGTTAACTTATGAGATAAACTTAACAGGTCTGGTCCTAGCCTTTGCTGGTCAGATTCAACACCACAGCCAATGAAGATGTATAATCAAGGGAAAATTGAACAGCAGTCAGTATGGTATTTCTATCTTATGAATAGAGATACAGAGCACCTTTGTTCCAATGTATTTTTTCAAGGATGCTTGTATAGCAAGAAGACTTAGAAAAAAATAACAATATATTAACATGTATAAACAAAGAGCAGGTCTGCTTACTACCTGTGTGGCTTATAATAAGCTTAGCGGCTTATCTCATTACCTTATATTCTTTCTGGAGACTCTCTGGGAGAATCTGTGCCCTAGTCTCTTCCACAGGCTAACAATTTATTGAGATTTATTAATATTAGATAGAGGTTGCCTGCATTTCTTATATCTCTACTTCCTCTATCTTCAAAACTAGGAATGACAAGTCCAGTCCTATGCATAATGCCATCTCTCTAGTTCTGACACTTCTGCCCGCTTTTTTCGGCTATAAAGATTCTTGTGATTTCACTGGGCACATCCAGACAACCCTACATAATTTTTCTTTCCTCAAATCCCTAACTTTAAATGACATCTACAATAGCACCTTTTCCCAACATGATAATTCAGCATTAAATGCATGAGTATTTCAGGACTTAAAACATAGTCATGTTTGGGCAGCCATTACTCTGTCTACCACACTGCCCAATGTAAAATTATTCACGTTCTGTACATTCATGATTTGTCTTCCCTTTTGTAGATACTGTCTGGTTCTCAACAGATCACCCTACAGGAATTGAGGTTCAGGACAAAAGTGCAAATGTGGATATAGT